AGGTCACTACAGGTACTTCACAAAATAAACTGTATTCATGTTTATTGCTAGGTTTTTTAGTACGTAGGTATCTTAAGTGATGCTTGACATGATCAGGAGCCAATTTGCATTATTATAGAGGAATTTCTATAACTCTGCTGCATTCTATCATAGGCCTATGAAACACTTGTGACATATGTAATTAAGAATAAGAGGAACATCTCAATATATAGATTATGTAAATGAACGTGAATGTAAATGAGGTCGAGGAACTCTTCTTTATATCTTGTTCATTTATTCTCCTTACAGGGCGTACCTAGACCAACCACCGAGCTCTCACTGCCGCTGATTTCCGTCTTGTAAACGGCCGTTGCCACTTTGCCATTTCCCAGAACGGCAAACTTAGAGTGTAGTACGAGTAACACGCTCCCTCCACACCGTGATGCTTCGTGGTGTAGAAGATTAGGGCTTTAGGAGTAGGCTTTTTAAACCGGGTTCGAATTCGAGCTTGTGCTTTTTTAATCAACAAAATCTTCACAATTCTGTTGTATATCTGCAAATAAGATGTTCTCTTCTATACATTTTAAGTGTTTTTGCCTCTCAAAGAAATTATGGTACGTTCGGATATGGCACCGACCATTTCAAATGGCAACGACCGCCACGTACTGTCTCAGAAGATTCTTGGAGGAAACTTAAGAGCTGATGTTGATTGTTTTAGGCAGGTCTATGTGGGTTTTATTAAATTAAGGTTTGCAATGATGATATTTATCAAATTATTGTCAATCTTGTGTAAGGGATGAGGCTCTGTGATGGTGCACTTTTGTTGATGTTTAGAAAGTGTGATGAGTAAGAAAGGTGTAAAAAAATCATGAGTTTTAACAAGGACCTAAGATTTTTAATGAATAATTTATAATAAATAAAATGTATGTAGTGAATAGTGAATGAAGAACAAAATAATTTTTAATGGCTTTAAAGGTGTAAAGCCACAAGGGCCACTTCTGGGCACTGGTCTAACACTCACTGCAGCAGCATCTCTTCTGCCTAATTGTAGAAACATCAGGTTTGGGTATAAGGATGAGGTTCTGTAATGGTGCACTTTTGTTGATGTGTAGAAAATGTGACGAGTAAGAAAGGTCACTGATTCAATCTGTTGATACTGTGATAAAATAATGAATTTTGTAAAGGACCTAAGATTTTTAATGGCTAATTTATAATACATAAAATGTATGTAGTGAATAGTGAATGAAGAAGAAAATAATTTTACAATGGCTGTAAAGGTGTAAAGCCACAAGGGCCACTTCTGGGCACTGGTCTAACACTCACTGCAGCAGCATCTCTTCTGCCTAATTGTAGAAACATCAGGTTTGGGTATAAGGATGAGGCTCTGTAATGGTGCACTTTTGTTGATGTTTAGAAAATGTGACGAGTAAGAAAGGTCCCTAATTCAATCTGCTCATACTGTGATAAAATAATGAATTATGAATAGTAAATAAGATTTTTAATGAATAATTAAAAAAATACATGTATGAATGAAAGAATGAATGAAGAACACTAATTTTCTATGGCTTTAAATGTGTAAATCCACAAGGGCCACTTCTGGACACTGGTGTAACGCTCACTGCAGCAACATATCTTCTGCATTTGTGTAGAAACATCAGGCTTGGGCAAGTTTGACTAACTGACTCGATAGGAGAAGCACGGATTACAAAGGCTGCTCGGAAAATTGCTCGGGAAATGTACTATTCATAGTATTCTGAGAAAAGTCAGCACCTTTGTGCATGTACATGTATAATTTGTAGTGAAGTACGACTTTAATGTGAAAATATGAGATCTTGTTGGACTTTTACTATGAAATACTTGAGAACCAAGAAAAGCAACTGGCGTTGCCTAAATGTCTTGTATACAACTGTTAACTAAAATTAGTGTGATTAAGCTTTTAATGAAAACAATTAGCATATCGATTTGCAATGCAACCTTCATTTTGCATTGCAGTCGTTTTGGTGACACTGGTGTCTTGTCAGTAAATTATTAGTTGTATTTACCGTAACTTGATGTGCTACTAATATACTTGTTCATTTGATTTTGATGTGAACTCACATTATCCATTCTGTGCATGCAAATGTTCCTTTTGAACTGACAACCAAATCATTACACATTCTCATTGAATCTTCCATGGGCCTCTTTACAAGCAAACATCAGTGCCCATTTTGTCAAAAAAGATTGAAGATGAAAATTACTTGATCAAGAAGTTTTCACAATGATGATGATTAACACCCAAAGTTGTTCACACGTCTTTCTGCTTGTTCAGAAGAACTGAAAAAATCCCATCCTATAAATGAATTTAACGACACTCTATGCGGAGATAATAGCCTGGGTACCATCCTATTTGTATGCCGGGGCTCCCATACCCCCCCCCCCCTTAAAAAAACTACTTTGGGGGGGGGGTACTGGGAGCCCGAGGCTACGGAGTATGGGAGCTACGGAGATGACAATTACTGTGTACAAATAGGCAAAGGTATGAGATCGTTGTACTCTATTTAAATTTTGACGTGGAACGGTGTTTTCTCCAGCATTCGCATACATTAATGTATACAATATGTCCCGCAACTTTTGAGCAAAAGAACAGTCAGAAATGGTGTTCATTATAAAGCGTGTTTCAGTATTAAATCACAGAAGTAATAAAATTTCATGTAATTTGTCTCGACTTTTCAAAGAGTGGCTTTTTTTATAACCTTTAGTATTAAGCACATGCAGACGTTCTTTTTAGCTTACAACCGAAACATTGTCATTGAATCTTCCATGGGTAGGTCTCTTTGCAAGCAAGCATCAATACCCATTCCGTCCAGATCATCTTGAAGATGGCATTTACTTTATCATGGAGTTTTCATTCAATTCGATGATAAACGCCCAAATCTGTTCACAACTGTTTCTGCTTGTTTAAAAAAATGCATAAATCCGACCCTAACGTTATAAGTTAATCTAATTACATTCAGGCGTGGATAACACTTACTGTGTACAAATAAACAAAGGTATGAGATATTGGTACTTAAATTATAACGCCGAAAGATGTTTTTCTCCAACATTTGCATGTACATTAATGTACACAATATATTTCGGAGCTTTTAAGCTAAAGATCAGTCAGAAATGGTATTCATTATAAAACGTGTTACAGTATTAAATCACAGAAGTAATAAAATTTCATGTAATTTGTCTCGACTTTTCAAAGAGTGGCTTTTTTGATAACCTTTAGTATTAAGCACATGCAGATGTTCTTTTCAGCTTACAACCGAAACATTGTCATTGAATCTTCCATAGGTCTCCTTGCAAGCAAACATCAATACCCATTCCGTCCAGATCATCTTGAAGATGGCATTTACTTTATCATGGAGTTTTCATTAAATTCGATGATAAACGCCCAAATCTGTTCACAATTGTTTCTGCTTGTTTAAAAAATGGAATAAATCCGACCCTAACGTTATAAGTTAATCTAATTACATTCAGGCGTGGATAACACTTACTGTGTACAAATAGGCAAAGGTATGAGATCGTGGAACTCTATTTAAGTTTGTAACGTCGAAAGATGTTTTTCTCCAGCATTCACACACAATAATGTACATAATGTACCTCGCAGCTTTTAAGCTAAAGAACAGTCAGTAATGATATTCATTGTAAAGCGTGTTTCATTAAAAAATCACAATATTGATACAATTTCAAATAATTTGTCTCGGCTTTTCAAAGAGCGGCGTTGTTTGTTTGCGCTAAACCAAGGTACAGATTGGTTTGGGTATTGAGGCAGGCTTAAATTTGGACACGTCTTTACTGGAGTAGGACGTGTTTTTTTGTCTTCTGAAAGACGCGTTTTGCCTAGTGTAGGGCGCGTCTTGTCTGGTGTAGGACGCGTCTTGTCTTGTGTAGGACGCGTTTTCTGTCCTAAAACTGATCACATCATGTCGAGCTCGGCCGAAGGGCAGCAACAGGCACAGACTGAGACTACTGGAGGTACGGTGTTTTTTTTTGCCATTGTAAATGGATTGTTCACTATATACAATAATATGCGCTTATTGGCCATTGCTATTCACTTTCTTTCCGATTGTTTCAGTACATTAGATCCCATAGTGGAAAAATGTCTGGCAGTCATTTTTGTTAATTAGCACTACCGGGCGAACTCGCCAACTCCGCCCCAACTTCTGTGGCCTGGCGCCGGGAACCACGTGGACCCGAGCTAGCACCGGCTCCCCGCTCACATTCGCCCAGCTCGGGGCCTTGTGAGCGGACATCTCTGGTTCCGCTTCTCTTCCCACCACTACCCTCCTCGCCACCGTATTCTTTTCTAGTTTCTTATTTTTACTAAGTCAAGTATAGGGTAAGACAAGACATTTTGTTGTAGTTTTGTTTTCTTCGAAATCTTTATTCATTGTGAGGCCTGTATCTCTTCTGGAAAAGTCCGCCAAATGATTAAACTTTTCCCTTTGTCGGCCAAACTGCGTGTCTCTGTCCTTTGTCTTGGTTGATGATAATTAAGAAATTCAAGTACATTGTAAGATGAGATTCTCCATACCCAAGTGTACAAAATAGGGAATTGCAATAAAGAATATTTAAATCTTAGAGACTCCATTTTAGAGAATACTTAAACCTCTAATGTTGCAGCTGTACATATCCTGTACGTAGTTTGCCGCATACGTATTTTCTGTACGCAGGATGACTTGATTCATACATGTATTTAGTTTTGTACGATCTTAGTTGTAGTAGACCATACGAAAGTCCCTGTACTTGTGTCGATGAGAATATCTTAAATTTGGCTCATTTTTTTAATTTCTACTCTCCGGATCCACAATATTTAACTGTCATTTTCTCTCCCTTCAATGGGCTGAATTGTCCGACGCTTTCTTTTTCACGTCGGACTCTGTGTTTTCGTCTTGACAAAAATTGCACTCCTTGTTGGTCTTTATTTCGAGCAGTGCACAAGTCCCTAAAGCGTGTAAGAAACGTAAGTTAATTTTACATTAAACAAATAAGACTGCGGTCTGTGTCGGTCCACATAGTAAAGATCTTTTTAATATTCATTCCATAAACTCAAATATCTCCAAGATAAGAATACATCGCATCGACTAGTCTACAAAACCGACTTCATTTCAATAAATCTTGATATTTTTTCTTATTACGTTTCTCAGAAAGTAAGTTGATGTTTTCTTCTCGGCATTCCTGTTTTTTCATGTCGGATTTGTGCCTGCTATGAATAAATCATAATCAAATCAAACTCAATGTAAACAGTTTTGTTCCTATTTCTAAAAGTCCCAACCTTTTACCTTGAAAACGTTTGGTTATGGTAAAAATTGTGCGATAGTTATA